CCGCATATTCAACCATGTTCGATTGGGAATAAGGGCCGAACTCTGCATCGCAGCCTTCTCGGACCAAAACCAGTCGACTCAGTGTCGAAAAGACTACAACACATGGGCCAATCGCGCTCATCTGTGCTTTTATAAGGACAAAATGGCGCTTTTAGTGACATTTTGCCTACAAATACCCATCCAGTAGGGCGCAGTCACCCAGTTTTGGTGGAAGTGGCGAGTTCGATTGGGAAAAAAGAAGGAAGGGAGTCTCAGCTTCCTCGGACCAAGACCATTCGACTCAGCACATCGAAGAATACAACTGGTGAATAATTGATTAACGGCTTAACTTCCCCTAAGTGGATAACCAAGTCATACTTGTTTGAAGTACGTAACTTAGTAACAAACTACTGATGATGGCTCTTGGCCGATATGCTCTGAAAACGAATCATGTGAGAATACTCGGTGAATTCGTTTCACCCATAGTCATGATTCCACCCAGCTTGCTACAATCTTGACAGTACAGTAAAAGTTCCCTAATCAGAGGACTTCCGTCTACGCTCAGACGGGAAAACAAAACTATTCCAAGTTTCGGGAAATTCCCAGTTATAGGCAGGGTCCGGTCCCATTCTTCCCGGATAGGGGGATGACGGTAATGGTGGTGATGGTGATGGTGATGGTGGTGGGGGAAGCAGGGCCGTAGCAGGCGGTCAGCTGCCGGACCAATATTCGCCCAAAAAAAAAAATAATAAAAATAAAAAAAAGCAGGAGCTCACACAATACATGTGAGCAGCTCAGGATGTCCACCCATGATGTGTGCAATAAGTAGAGGTAGTACATGGTACAAGCAAGAGTATTATAACTCATGGTAATACATGTACATGTAGCGAATACCATGTCATGTACACTCAAACGCCTCTTATCCGGACGCCTCAGATACGGGCACGTCTCTCTACCGGCCACCCTCATCTTGAGTTCCTATGGCAAAAATGCTTCGAATTTGGGGGGTTGAACTTTTTTTCCGAATGCAGAAGTGCTTTTTTGTCACTGCCAACCTGTGTAATCCATACATTTTTATCCACGGATTATTTTTGTAACCTGAACATGTGCAATATGCGCCAAAAAAACCTCTTCAAAAATGATAATGATACATGGTAGATGAGTTATCCTGAGATACGGGCAAATCTGAGATACGGGCAGTGCACAGTCCCGAGGTGCCCGGATAAGAGACGTCCGAGTGTACATAGCACTACGTGGGTGTTGTCCTCTACTGTATGACCTCCTGCCATTCCTCCGTTGCAATGTACTTGTACTTTCTCCTCCTCCAAAGGTCCATTTTGGCTCTTTTATCACATGCATTTAGCATGGCCAGCAATCGAGGACATCTGAGAGTTGTAATTTTTGTACTCCTCCGAGGTGTGATTTTTGGCGTGCTGGGCCCAGCACAAGGAAGCCATCTGCAAAAAAACTGCAGAAAATGGTTGTTGTTTGATCCTTTGGTGTAATCTTTGTTTCTAGTCGAAGCTAGTTGCTGTTTGGAGCAGAAACGCTGAAATTGACTATTTTCTGCATGTACTCATACATGTACTCATGAAAAAAAGTTCGAATTACACGGAATGTTCGAATTATACCGTATTCGAATTAGAGGGAGTCTACCTGTACTCAGGCATGCAGTCTCACTCGTATTTTAGCTCTTTTTCTGGAATGGATGCTGCTCTGCGCCCCTTGGTGAACATTTCCTGCGCTCGTGGAGCAGCTGAAAAGGACCACTGGTATGTCTGGTTCCTGGTTTGAAAGTGGAGAGTCGACTTTTGTGCCTTGAAAAAGGAGTAGAGAGCGATAGAGGTACGTCTGTTGCTTATTTTTGAGTGCTCCTCGTACATTTTTGATCGTGATAGAAATTCTCAGACCAAAGTCAGACCAAAGTCAGCGCGATGATGGCCGTACAGTTTTCTTGTGGATTTTTTAGTTGTTTCATCTCGTATCTATGTCAGTATCGTGATGGTGAAGTGGAGAGGGTGATTTTCTCCCTCTAGGCTTCGTTCGGCCGACTTTGCTTCGTCCTCGTTGAAAAGTGATCCTGAAAAAAAGGTCGATTCGAAAAATTATGTTGATTTTGAATGTACGTGATGACATGCGATTGCTGGCTATGGATATTGTTGCTATGCCTTCATAGGCTTCAATAAGTTCTGTTCGGACGGACACAACATGCTGATGCCCTTTTTCCTGACTCATGCAGAGCATCCTTCTTCCCTTTCTCGCTCTATGTCACTCGAAGGCTATAGCGTGTGTGTTTCTGAACATTCAAGTGATGCTAACGCAGATCCCGCAAATATTATTTTATTATTATAGTCACTCTGCATGGTCACAATTACATACATGTCCATGTACATGCACGTACAATCATGTACATGGACGTACATGTACATGTACCAGCATATAATATATGAGTGTGGGCTCGGGGGGGGGGGGGGGGGAGGGAGGGAGCATCGAGGTCGGATCTTGCCGGACCAACCAAATTAGGGCTGCTACGGGCCTGAGAAGGGGGTCCTACTGTATACTTGTTTTCAAAACCAACAACAATGACGACGACGACGACAACAACAACAACAACAACAACAACACCAACAACAACAACAACAACAACAACAACAACAACAACAACAACAACAACAACAACAACAACAACAACAACAACAACAACAACAACAACAACAACAACAACAACAACAACAACAACAACAACAACGTACCTCTGCTCTCAATGTAATCTATCCTTCTCCGTTCTTGGCTTCTGCTGTCTGCACCCACCACTGATACATGGCTGATTATCTCTGCTGTGAAAGCTGTCCTCCGTGCTCAGTTTCTGATCCAGTATGCCGCCAGTGATAACATGTCTTCCAGCTTGACATTTGGCTACCTTGCTTCCATCATCATCACTTCATTGTGGGAAAGTTGCTGGAACGGTTCTGGATACTGAGCGATGATAAACTCGTCAGGCAAGCTGGCCATCATGATGCTGCCTTTGTACGGCTGCTAGGTTAGGTTGGAGATATCGGCCATTCCCTTCACCAACACTGTCGTTGCCAGTCTATTCCTGTGAGCCTGTGTACATATCATTGTACGCGTAACAGCAATCAGCAGTTTTTGATTGATCATAAAAATCATGCTCTGCACTGTCCTCACAGACGTCCAGTGAGTCATGCTACCCAGAATGCAGTTCCAGCGGTGCTCATTGATCCGTGTGTCCCACCAATCAAGATCTTCATGGTAGGTTGGATTCAGCGCTTAGAGTTCTTTTCACACTTGAAACACAGTTGCGCTTTCCAACGGCCGTAAGAGAGTCGTCAGCCACTGGCTATGCAACTCTGTTGTTGTTTTGCTGTGTTGTACGGGCGGAGCACAAAGACACAGTTGTATCTTTGCAGCAAGCCTCTACTTGCTACGTGTGTGACTGTGGCCGCCATTGCATGCCTTTTTTCATAGCTTGCACTTTCCTCGAGAGTCTTCTGCTCCTGGACTATCCTTTCTGCGTTCCTACACTGTTATAATCGCTGGCAACCCTGGCCACGTCATTGGCCACAGAGCTCGCTAGCAGTGATCACTCGTCCCCTGTCCGAAGTATTAGTTTCCAGTCCACTGTCGCATGCTCTTAATCTTGGACGATACAGGTAACTAAGAACGGAACTGCACGGGTACCGTAGAGCAACCAGACACGTGCGCTATTGTAACGCGAGGCAACGATTTCGATCAGTTGACCATCTAGTCACGCACCGCATTTCTATTTGACGTTTGAATGGATTTTCAAAAATAATATCCAACAGCCTCAATCCTCCAGTCTCAGGTCTGTGGTCATCGAAATCATGAGGATCAACACTTGTTTTTCTATAACTGTCTGGCTTTATTCAATCTTTGACCATTATCAATACCAATTATTTATTTTATTTATTTATTTCTGCACCTCGTGGCATGTCAAGACAGCCAATTGAATTTCCATGCTAGGATCAACCGTTTACTCGATTCATAAATAATCATCATGGTGCACTAAAAACCCAACTACCGTACTGGCAATATTATGTTGCCGCAGTGAGGCCATGAAGCGTTACATTGGCACATGTTTGCCGCACGCAGGGCGTTACATGCAAAGTCGCACAGGAGCCGTTACACAGGTTTCTATATTGCCGCAGTCCTTTTTTTGCTATTGCCGCATCACTTTTTTGCTATTGCCGCATCATTTTTTTGCTTTTGCTGCATCATTTTGAGTGAAAAGATCGCCGCACCCCGCCGAACGCGCGTTACGAACTCAACGAAAATTTGTCGCACTAGCCTGGTCGCGCGTTACGCCGCACCCCCCTGCGTTACGCGTTACGCGGCAACATATATTGCCAGTACGGTAATTACAAGTCATGTACTTCCAAAATGTGAGGCTAAGCACCCTTTTCGCGTGCTCTGGCTCATTAAGGGCGCGTTCGAATTGTCACTCTTTGACTTTTCGAGGAGCTTCGTTTTTCTGAAGAGGTAGCCTTATTGGCCTCTTCAGAAAAACGAAGCTCCTCAAAACTCATCCGATGGGAAGGTGGATTAGTTTCGAAGAGTTTGGAATAGCTACGTCACGTAGTAGGTCTACGTGGCGATGGTCGATCTGATCGGACGTCATCATCGCCATGACAATTCCACTGAAAAACTCTAAAATGATAGAAACCGTTCTCGGACACTTCAACTAATCTCTATATAAAATTTGTAAGAACAGTTGATGAAGACAATTCGAACGCGCCCTTAGATTCTCGGATCAGTCTTGGCTTATGCCAGTTATGGCTATGCACTCGCATACTCTGATCTGCCAAGGAACCGAAAACGACAAAATGTCGCGGATTTTTCTTCGTGCACGCATGCGCCACGGCAGCCATGACTGGAGAGTCGGAGACTCCAGCCCATGCCCAGGCCACCGGCCCAACATCGCCATCGGCCAAATAAGCCTCTGCACTCTGCACTGCAGTACTGAACTACCGCACCGTTGGCATTTTCATCTCCTTCGGATTATTTTTCTAGTGCTGATAGCGATCTATGCGAGCTTGATGCTGAACATTTCAAGCGTTATTTTCGAAAGAGTTGCTTGCCTTCATCAATTTCGCTCTGTACCTGAGCCACAACGGATGAACGGCTTGTACGTGGCAGTACGTATAATTGCGTGAGATAAGACATCTCTTTGATCCTAAGAAGTTATGCAGTAACTCGATGTCGATCGTGATCAGTCCGCAGTGCGAGTGAACTGTGGTCACGCGGACAGGCAGGAGTGTGAACAATGGCAGACAGGGTGCGCTATAACATAGCCTTCCTAGTTTCCAATCTAGATGCATCCTTGATCTTGGAACTCTTGCTGGAGAATGATGTGCTGGACGTTGATGAATATGATACTGCCTCTAGCAAGGAACACGTGAAGTCTGATCTGACAAAGTACATGGTGAGGCTGATGCTGACGAAAACAGAGGAACAGGTCGACACGTTCCTGAGGCTCATTCAGCACAGCCAGCCTCATGTAGCGGAACATGTCGCCAGTACCATGGCAAAGCGACGCGATCCAACTGCCAGTGGAAAAACTGACCATCCGACGAAGCCAATGTCGGCAGATCATGAGCCAGCACTTGGTTCGTCCTCCGGTAAGTGTAGAAGATGATCCATACTGGTTTACACACATGATAATGACACACATAACTGGGTAAGACGAAATAGTGTAGATACAGCGTATCACAAAAATGACAATTCACTTTGCTCTGTACGTGTATCACAACGAAGAAAATCTGGCGTCATCAGGTGGGGCATTGCTCAGGCATTGTTTGCCAAATAAGTGTGGTTGTGTGTGGTTGTGGAACTGCCCACTCGCACGTGTCTGCATGCATACACATGGATGTGCACTTGAGTGAATGCCTGTGTGTGAGAGAGGTGGATGTGTTGTTGGATGGGTGTGATGATTGTATCTGTTTGCTTATGCTATTATATTGTCTCTACAGCACTGCCAGAGTGGGTGAACTTCCGCACCATCAGCAACATTGATCGAATGGAGAGGCTAAAACGCATCCGGGACATCGTGGCCGAATCCTCCCAACGTGTGCATGATGTTGGATCCTACCTTCTGGAGAAGGAATTCCCGGACAGTCCAAAAGCGGTGTGTTCTCTTTTTGCCTATTTCACTGTACTAATAATATTTATTTATTTATTTATTTATTTATTCAACATCTCCTGGCCCGTCCGAAGACTGCCAATAAACATGAGAGGTCAGGTGATAGCCAACCACGGCAAGCTAAAAGGGAAAAAAAAAGAAAGATGCTGTCAGAGAGGGAAAGGAGATAGGGAGAGAAAAAGAAAGGGAGGCACATTAATAATACATGGGATCACTTCGGATGAGACAGTGTGGAAAGCTGGACTGTGAATTTCCTGATATCCTGGCATGTCTTGATGCTAGTAGGCAGGTTAGACCAAAGGGAGTATGCTGAGAAGAAAGGGGATTTCAAAAACAGAGAGGAACTAGCTCGGGGCAGTGATAAGGCATTGCGTGTTGGTCTAGTGGTAACAAACCAGTTGTACTTGGCAATATGTTTCGGGACTTGGGCTAGGAAGATTTTTTGCACAAGGATACAAAGATGCTGCTGATGTCGGGCAAGAAGAGGGTGCGTGGAAGCAAGTTTATAAAGACAAAGGGAGGCAAATGTTTGGTCTTTTCGAAACAGAATTTTCAGAAGCAAGCGTTGATGTACCTCCAGTCTGTGGAGTAAAGTCTGAGACAACCCGCACCAAGCTATATCGCAATAGTCAAATATAGGCAAAATGTACGACTTAAAGAACAATTTTCTGCAGTTATCATTCAAGTGTTGGCAGTGGGGTTGTAGCATACCTAAGGACGCACTCGCACGCTTGCACACAGACTGGACTTGTGGAGACCAGGAGAGTTGGCGGTCGAGAATAACGCCCAGGTGCTTGTGCTCGTTAACAACTTTAATAGGTGTACTATTTAGACCAGGAAAATACAGAAGTTGAGTGGGGGGCGAGGGAGAGAAGAACATGGCCTCGGTTTTGGCGAGGTTAGGCTTCAGTTTCCAGGTTTCCATCCATGTTACTGTAGCGTTGACCCCGGACTGCATGGAGGCCGTGAGGTTGTCTGCCGAGCTGTCGGAGCACATCAGAGCAGTGTCGTCAGCAAAAAGACTTACATTTGGTACAAGGGCTGGCAAGTCATTAACGTACAGTAGAAATAGGAGCGGCCCAAGTATGGACCCCTGGGGTACCCCAGACACGACTAGTAATGGGTCTGATAGGGAGGTAGATACTCTGACAGTCTGGTGGCGGCAGGAAAGATAGGATGAGAGCCATTGCAGGGCTGGACCGTGTACCAAGAAGACGGACTCTAGCTTTGCAAGCAGACCACGATGCCAGACGGTGTCGAAAGCTTTCGCTAGGTCAAAGAACACGATGCCAACATGCCGCCTGAGGTTCCGCTGGGTGTAGATGTCTTGTACTAGACGTGTTAGTTGGAAAGTTGTGGAGTCTCCACGGCAGAAACCGGATTGAGATGGTGAAAGCGCTGGGGTGACGTGGCAGTACAGAGACTCAAAGAAAATACGTTCACAGACCTTGGACACAGCGGGAAGGAGAGAGATTGGTCTGTAGTTGCCAGCCTGAGAGCGTTGGCCTTTCTTATAGATCGGGACGATAACAGCAGATTTCCAGACGGACGGAAATACTCCTGTACGATATGACATGTTAAAGAGCAGGCACAAGGGATAGGACAGAGATGGCGCAAGCCATTTGAGAACCTCATTGGGTATGCCATCTTCGCCAGGGGACTTACAATTCTTCAGGAGTTTGAGGTGCTTACAGACGGTAGCAGTCGTGGTAACGACGCGTGTGAGTGGTGCGCTAAGTTCAGGGGCTGGGGACAGCGATGGAATGACCCAATTCGGATCTTCCGGAATGCCGGATGAAACAAACTGCTTGTTCAGTGTGTCTGCAATCGCCTTCACATCGTGCTGGCGGTTGCCATGGGAGTCCGTCAGGTACTGGATTGGCGCGCGGGAGGTCCCGCGGCACTGGTTGCGAATGAATTGGTGGAGTGATGGGCGATCGGGGGAGGAGAGTGTTGCAGAAAGAGAGTTTAGAAAGGAGCGGTGTGAGGTACGAGAAAGGTGCTTGACGAAGTTGCGTTGAACTCGGTAAGCCTCCCGGTTAACCGGCGTTGGGAATTTCTTGTAGATGCTGAAAAGATCACGCTTGCGCTTCACTTCAGATACGAGGGACCGTGTCACCCATGGGGGACTAGATGTCGAGGATGTTGGGTTGGAATGTTTCCGGTTGTTGTAGCCGATAGCAAAGTTAGAGAGGTGCTGTTGGAACCCTCGTTCAAGGACGGCTGCAAAGTGATCTACCGCGGCGTCAACAGTTGGAGAGCCTTCTGGTTGCAGAAACGACCAGTCGTGGCAGGAGAAATCATATAGTATTTCTCAGACTTATCAATAAAGACGAACTCTCTGAGTCGATCATTTTAAGGTAGCAGCCTGGTCCTAAATTTCATATGGCATTCAATTGACCGTAACTTTGGTGTCTCTCAATGGATTTGAGTGAAACTTGCACCACACACTCCTGCCACTATGCTGGCCCTCCGGACATGATTTAACCCTTTCACCACTGTCGACGTATATATACGTCATGGCGTGTGCACCTGCCCCACTGACGACGTATATATACGTCCTCGGTGTACGTCGCGTTTGTACTGATGCCTCAACATCAGTGGGGCCCGGAACTGTTCCTCAGTGGGCTGAAGGACCTGATCGACGTGTACGCAGCGTATGTGGCCAGTCTGCATAGCAGAACAGCCGCAAGCATCGAGTTTGAAGTGCGTATTTTGGCATATCGTTCACATAAATTGTTTTGCTCAAAGTTCGTTTTCGTCATCTTGTCCTGCTGTTTCTCGGCAAGGTAAGTAGCTCAACTACTCTGTGTCGATGGAAGGAGTCCTGTGAAGCAGTGTGAGGCGGGTAATGACTCTGAGGATGATTCTGGAGACAGCGAAATTGTGTCGGAGTCGTTTTCTGAGGATTACGAATTTGCTGCTATTCAAAAGATCGCAGCTGGCTCGGACGCAGGGGATGCTGGAGACCAAAGAGATCTGGAAAGCGATGCTGAAGTCTCTAACACCTAGGCATGGTGTTCTGAGCAGGAGCTATCTGTCGTGAGCCCGTTTGCTGAAGTTCCTCAAGTAAACTGCGATCAAATTTGAAGGTCAGATTTTTGAAAATATTTGAATTTGAAATCAAGTGTACTGGTCAGACATGCATGCAGATCACAATAGAGATGTGCATACATGTAAGTATTGTATGTTGAGTACAGAGCCAGGCACCTACAGGATGGTGATTGCTATCTAATATGAATCCAGAATAATCCGGAATAGTCAACAATTGTGCAATTTTGAACCACTATCAGAAATTGCACAGCCGATTGTTTCTTGAATTTTCATGCGTACGTACACCGGTACGCAGTATGCACTCGGCTGTTTAGGGAATGCTTCAGACTATTTTGGTAGCTGGATTGTCTTGCCAGTGAGTGTCCAAATCAGAGAATGAGCTGTATTGCATTCTCTATCAATATGACTTTACCTGTGCCGCGTACGTACGTACGTACGCGTGCGGCCAGTGATGATTCACCCTGGGATGCGCCGAGCACAGTGAGCCAACCGCTGCCACTGCACCGGCTGCTATTATAGCCGATGCAGTTGCTGTGGTTGCTACTCCAGTTACTCGGCATCCTCACTGTCCATCACATGGTTTTGTCTTGAAGTAGGTAGGGCTGCTGGAGGATTCAAGCTTTACGATGCGCCCAAGAAAAAAGAAAGACCCATTCTGGATCGCGCAGTCGCATATGATTCAAGCGCCGTATAAAACGAGTTGCTGTACTCTAGTCTAGGTTGCCGTAGAACACCAGGATCATATCAAGCTTGTTATATGACATTTCTCCATTCTGAAGTCAACACTGACCAGTTATAGCACTGCTTGCCATTGCTTGTCTGATCTTTGTCGTCAATTGCCTAAATTGAATGAATTTTGAGGAAAAATCGCCAAAAGTCGCATATCTAAATATGGTGTTATGAGTCTCGTACAATGAAATCCTACAAAATTTCTTTGGATTCACAGTGCATATGTCCATACCCAACATCTCCAATCAAATTTGGACCAGAATATGCATTTTCAAAAATTGCCATTTGTGGCCCAGTGGGAGGTGATTTTCCGGTCAGGGCTGAAAGGGTTAAAAGTTCTTGCGCCTCGCTGACAGGCTTTACAGGCCGGAAAAACTCAAAATTCCGGCATAGTGCCACGGTTGGCGAGCCACCCAGGAGCCAAACAAATACATTTACATTTTTTCACATTTTCTAGCCAATTCTGTTCGTGCGCAGGATCCAAACCTAAAACAACGTCCAGAAGCAGCCATGGGTGGTGGGATAGGGCCCTTCAACGTGGCCCTGGAATCTGTCACAACGGCAGGAGTGGGCGTTCTGTCACAGACTCCCACAGACCCAAGTCAATTTTTGAATTTTTTTAGGTTCAGGGCGTGCTACGAGGTCGTACCTTTGATATAACATCCAGTACTGGGACCTCCACAGCAAGCCATTTCCACAGCGCTTCAAACCGAATCCAGGATACCCTCCAAAATCGCCAAAGACTACCAGTCACGTTCCACCACTGCCTGGTACTGAATCCTACCTGACTTCTTGACACGACTCAAGCTTGCCAAAGTCACTAAATCAACGTCAACTACAATAATCAAGCCACATATCTGCAACATCACGAGGGTGCTGGCAAAAGTCCGGCTGCACGGCGGCGGGCTTCGCCCGCCGCCGTGCAGCCCAATACGTGGTTTTTTAACGTGATTTTTTGGACTTTTTTGGACTTGGAGCAAAATTCTGCACACTTTCGCGTGATTCCATGATACGACAAGTTGCGCACAGTCAGCTCACATTCAAATACAGTGCTGCCAACAAAATGACAGCGCGCAACAAAAAAATCTTTCCTTGCAAGGGCACATTTTCGGCCATAACTCTTGAACGGCTGGTCAGATCGAGACAAAAATTTCAGAGATTTTGCAGCTGTTCATGCTCTTTCAACTGATGTAGCACTCGATGTGAATTTCCAAATTCGATTTTTTAGGGATTTAGGACCAGGCTGCCACCTTAATCCATGACATCTTAAAAAAAGTATTATTCATAAAAATTGTTGAAGACCACAATGCTGTACTCGGAGTTTGTCTATTGATAAGTCTGAATGTTTGGAAAAGGGGATTTGATCCATTGGAAACACAACAGCACTCTTACTGTAGTCTGACTTACTCCGATAAAATAAAAATTAATGAAAGTAAAAACAGAGGATCGGTCGGGGAAGTGAACTGCCTGAAAAGAGAGAAAAAATGCCAGACCCACCAGGACTCAAACCCGGGACCTTGCTTGTCATGAGCAATGCTCTAACCATGTGAGCTATGGGATCAGGTCAAACCTAGAAGGCGCTGAAAAGCTTTTCACTCCAAGGCAGCTCACATGTGCCACCCATACTACGGAGGATTAGCAAGACGAAATTCGCGTTCGCGTTCGCTCTCCAAAGAAAGTCGAACTCAGTGACGGAATTCGCGTTATGAGAAGGATTAGCAAACAGAATTCGCACATGCATGATGTTGACACGACGTAGGCAGTACAGCGTGGTAAATTTATGACTGCCCTGACACGAATCCACGATTCGTGTTCCGACTACTTTTCCGAACGAAAAATGCGAAAGTTCGCAATCCAGTTCGCGACCTGAAAAATGTTTGCGAACGCGAACGCGAATTTCGTCTTGCTAATCCTCCGTACTGATGGCACTTGGGTCTTTTCCCTCACCCGGGGGACCAACCACGGTCAGTTTTTGGAACATACTACCAGAGGTGAAAAAATCACGGTTCGTGTGAGACTCGGCTGGAGGCGAGTTTTCCGCATCCGCAGGAACGCCACCACCCACTAGGAACACGGCACAGCTGCAGTGGTGGGAGATGACTCATCTCCCTTAATTGTTAAAGACTGTTGGCAAACACTATCAGGCAGTTCACTGCCCCGACTGATCAATTGAACTTGAAGTCCTCCCGGTACTTTAAAAATGAATCACTTTCTTTCACCTCTGCTAGTACCTTCCAGAAACTGACCGTGGCCAGTTAGCAACCTCTGCGTCCAAACAACGGCGGACGTACTTTTTCCGTTGCAAACTCCAGACGTCACCTGCGCGATGTACTCCAGAATGCTTGGGTATGCCATTCATTAGATAAACCAGGATGATGCCTTGTGAGAAGAATTATGCAGGATAACTGGACAGAAATTTGTCACCGATATATTTTATTACTGCACGTTTACGTGCTGAGTGGCCTGGTGAGAACGCTAGGTTGTCGTCACAAAACACCCGCTTCTGGGTAATAGCAGGTATTTGTTGGATTGAGAAGCCCTCATTCCAGCTCCATCCACACATGATATACTCACATACATGATGTGTATGGTTTGCTAATGTCAATGTTATTTGAATCTGTTTTGTCTGGAATGTGCTGGGTAACATGAAGTGTTTGTGTTGTGAATTCGTTATACCCACAGGCGATCACTGATAGAGCCCATCCGGAGACGAGCCCATTTAGCTTGTTCGACGCAATGACAAAGCTATGGATCGAGAAATACCACATACCGAGCGGCAGAGACATGCATATGGCCGTTCAGAATGCGGTTGGGCATGGATTGGCGGCGAACATCAAGGAATTCTGCCTCAACTCTGGTAAGTGGTTGATAAATTTTCCCTACACGTATATTGCAATACACCCCTCTGGCTAGTATAAATTGGTGTTGGGAGAATCCTCAACGGTTCGAATGTTTTTTTTACTCAATGATCGAGTGTGCACAGAAACAGATCATCTCGGACATGTCATACTATTAAAGGGTGCTTGCCCCCATCGATCGCAGTCATGTGTGGTAGGTCACCCACTGGTGATGGCCCACAATGTCAATCCACTGTACACTCGTCCTGTCACATATGTACAGCCAGTAGATACATGCAAATAATGAGATGGAAGGCAAAACCCCGCTAAATCTATTTGATCACTTTTCGGATAATGGCCCAAAAAAAGGATTAATGCTCGGTGCGGTTTGTATCTAAATAGATTTGGTATGCCAGGCTGAACTGCTGTCAGCTGTTGTTGTGTCCCCTGCGAGAGTTCTAACTAAAACCAGGCAACTGTTTCGGGGGTGAATTAATGAATGACACAGGACCGGTATGCAGGCTAGCGGCATTCAAAGTGCGCTTGCTGCGGAGCAATAGCAAGAAAACATCAATTATTCTCGACCTTGAAGACTACAAACTTGACGTGCTTAGTGTGACGGAGATGTGCATAAGCGGCTGTAGAGTTGAAGTTCTGGAGCATGGTAATACTCTGTACATCTCTGATGGCCCGTCTCATTGCCCAGGAGTTGCAGTTCATATAAGCAAGCAACTTGCCACAAATGTGGGATCGTACAAATTTATTTCCGAACGCTTGGTTGTTGTCCGCATGAGAGCAGGCCCGCATTCTGATAGCACCTCGATAGTGGTGGTTTGTTGTTATGTTTCGACCCTTTAACGCTCGACCACCCATCGGAGGCAGACGCCTGCTACTCCAGTCTGAGGCAGGTCATGGCAAAGGTACATATATGTGGGATGCTGTGCCACCAGATCACCGCTCTCGATCACCGCTCTCGATCACCGCTCTCGATCACCGCTCTCGATCACCGCTCTCGATCACCTCACCGCTCTCGATCACCGCTCTCGATCACCGCTCTCGATCACCGCTCTCGATCACCGCTCTCGATCACCGCTCTCGATCACCGCTCTCGATCACCGCTCTCGATCACCGCTCTCGATCACCGCTCTCGAATATTCACAGGTACACGTGTACACAGGTACATGCGTGCAAAATGCACTACACTGCACTGCAATGCACTGCACTGCACTGCACTGCACTGCACTACACTACACTGCACTGCACTGCACTGCACTGCACTACAGTACACTACACTACACTACACTACACTACACTGCACTACACTGCACTACACTACACTACACTACACTACACTACACTACAATACTACACTACACTACACTACACTACACTACACTGCACTGCACTGCACTGCACTGCACTGCACTGCGCTGCACTACACTACACTACACTACACTACACTACACTACACTACACTACACTACACTACACTGCACTACACTGCACTCCACTGCACTACACTGCACTGCACTACACTGCACTACACTACACTACACTACACTACACTGCACTACACTACACTACACTACACTACACTACGCTACACTGCACTGCACTGCACTGCACTACACTGCACTGCACTGCACTGCACTGCACTACACTGCACTACACTGCACTACACTGCACTACACTACACTACACTTCACTACACTACACTGCACTGCACTGCACTACACTGCACTACACTACACTGCACTGCACTGCACTACACTGCACTGCACTACACTACACTACACTACACTACACTACACTACACTACACTACACTGCACTGCACTGCACTGCACTGCACTACACTGCACTACACTACACTACACTACACTGCACTGCACTACACTACACTACACTACACTACACTGCACTACACTACACTACACTACACTACACTACACTACACTACACTACACTACACTGCACTGCACTACACTGCACTACACTGCACTACACTGCACTACACTACACTGCACTACACTGCACTACACTACACTACACTGCACTACACTGCACTACACTACACTACACTACACTACGCTACACTGCACTGCACTGCACTACACTGCACTACACTACACTGCACTGCACTGCACTACACTACACTACACTACACTGCACTACACTACACTACACTGTCGGAATTATTGTACATTGCAGTCTCCTCAGACCCAAACCAGCCAATTCGGTGCCCAGAGAACTGCAGGCTCATAACTGAAGAACTGCAGGCTCAGATATATATTACATATATCCCAAAATTTCCCTGCAAAAGAGTTTCACTCTGCTGTTGAATGACGGTTTTTACTTGTTCGGGGTCTGATTGTGTAAGCAGTGTCTACTGTATAAGTAGAAATTTTCGTTCACGAAATCTTTCGTTATATCACTCCACCAGCAGGCTTGTTACGTACTTAATTTCGTTTCTGAGGTCTGTCACCCCTAACGTTTAGAAATACCTTAAGTTAGCCCCTGCACCCGTCAACATGCAAGCACCTCCAAGTGCACCCGCATGCCCAGCTTGGGCACTCGTGCACTCATGCAGACAGACACAAGCGCACACATGCACGCACACGCCACTGGTGTACCCATGCTCTGACACGCAAACACCCGCACAACGTACCGCTCACAATGGCATGCACAAACATACAATAGACACATTGGGTTGGGGGTTGCCATGATTTCTTTTGGACAATTCAAATATTCAAGAATATGCTCTTTGATAATAATTGATTGAGTAAAGATGCATGCCTGAAACTAGCATCTGCCCGCCAAGGGCGCACAAATGGCCACCGCGGCCCGCCGCCAGCTAAACTAGAATACTGCCCACCGAGGGCACCCGAATGGCTAAACTAGCCTACTGCCCACCGAGGGCGCGCAAATGGTCGCCGAGGCCAGCAAACCGCCCGCCGAGGGCTAAACTAGCATACTGCCCACCGAGGGCGCACACATGGCCGCCGAGGCCAGCAAACCGCCCGCCGAGGGGTAAACTTGTATACTGCCCACCGAGGGCGCTCAAATGGCCGCCGCGGCCAGCAAACCGCCCGTCGAGAGCTAAACCAGCAGACCACCCATCGAGGGTACGCAAATTGCCACCGAGGCAAGCAAACTGCCCACCGTGGGCCGATATCATCTTGCCCGCCGAGAGCACGCAAACGGCCATCGAGGCCAGCCAATCGCCCACCGAGGGCTCACACGACTGCCTGGCACCGGCGTCACAACATACAGACATAATAGGAGGCCCGTTTGCCCCAAAAAGATAGTAGTCCTAGAAACCATGGCATCCCGTTCCCCGCAACCCGCAACGAGCTAGCTTTGTGACCACGGCTGCAGGTGCAGCGAATTCCTCACAATAATACCGCGCCCGTGCAGGCATACACACACTAGTTATCATGGCGAGCGCTGCTCAATAACTTACAAGCTAGGCATCCCGGCTGCATGCCACACGTAACGTTCGCATGCAGAGCTTCTCCAGCGGCCCACCCGCTTTACTTGCCATTCACTTGCCCCACGGAGCCATGAGTGAAGCGCCACCGATACGCATGGAGTGAGAGCTGACCTCGTTCGTCCTCAGGGCTAGCCGCAGAATCTTGGTCAGTTCCTCCCTGGTCAGAAACCGGCCAGACGCAAACACAAACACTGGCTCCGTCGCCTCTCTCTGACCCGCAAGGACCAGATAGGCGGTCAGGGCACGCACAGGGCAGAAGTCGTCGCGCGTCTCGCGCGGCTGTACTTGGCCGCAGTCACCCAGCTGGGCTGTCTTCGTCAACCGCAAGCGGACGATTGCCGATGACGCCTGGACGCTGATCTGCTGCCAGGTTAGCGTGCGCGTTCTATCGACTCTTGTTGCATGCGGTGCCAGGAACTCACTCGCCCGCAGGAGGCCGTGGAACGCTGTCAAGACACTGGCCCAGATCATTGCGCGGTCCGACTCGCTGTAGTTGGACCGGAGTAGGAAATGCTGTAAGTCGACCAGATCTTGCCCAGTGAGACCTCTCCGCGTCGTGGTTGCGGGACCCTGCCTCCTCTCAAGGCCCTTGAGAACTGCAGAAAGACGGACGGACTGCATACAAGTCACAGGAACACGCTTGCACAGCAAATGATACCGTACCGCTGACAAATACACACGCACAGTCGCCACACACCTCGTACGGGACAGCTCGGTAGCAAATAATACGATATCCTCCTTAGAGGGTGCAAGGGGATTGACATAATGTTTAACGCAATAATCATTGAAGGTTTCAATGCCAGTGGAGAACGTTCTCGCTGAGCGTTCCGACACTGAACCTGGTACAAGGGCATCAGCCTCGAGGCCTAGAGCAACACGGTCAGGCAGGGGCATGGCACTGGCGAAGCAGCCGCCGTTGGTGCCAGTTGACGGAAGCGGGTCAGCTGCAAGCGAGAAAGAGCATCAGCAATGCCGTTATTAGTGCCAGCAATATGGCAGATATACAATATGAAATTGTGCCTAGCGGCAACAGCTAACATAAAGCGGATCAACACCATGGCCTGCTTGTTCTTACATGAACCATTCTTCCAAGCTCTAACTACCGCCTCGTTATCGCAATGAAACAGCAGCTTCTTCCCTGCCCAGCACGGATCCCAAATGCAGCAAGCTAGGGCAATGGGAACCATTTCTCTAACCATAATAACGCTTAGCTGAGGAGATTCAAACTCCTCCGGCCACTTCCCAAAAACCAGTCGCCCTGGAAGTAGCCCTGTAGCCCTCGCCAGAGGCATCTGTGAACAACTGGAGGTCAGGAGAACGGGACCAGGCCTGGTCGTGGAAGAAGGACTTCCCATTCCAGTCGGCCGCAAAGCGATGCCACCAGGCGATGTCGAGGCGCGCTTCCTCGTCGATCGGGATCTGGGCAGACATGGAGGAAGCCGTTGTGCTGAGGTCAATGAGGCGCCGAATGAACGTGCGGCCCGGGGGACCACCTTGGCGGCGAAGGACAGCGTGCCTATGAGGGACAGGAGCTCACGCTTGAGGCAGTCGGTGCGCTGGAGCCAAGTTGCCAGAGCTGTGTGGAGGGCGAACAACTTGTCCTGAGGGAGCCGAGTCGCCTGCTCCACACTGTCAACTTCGATCCCCAGCACAGTCATCACAGTCGTTGGAGGGACGACCTTGTCCTGGTCTGTAGCCACTGGAACGCCCAAGTTCTCAAACACGGTTAGCAGCGTCGCTTGTGGAATGGCTGCGGTAGATGACGATGGAGAGGGGCTAGGCGGGGCGACGCCAATATAGTCGTCCAGATAATGCTCGAGGTCGGCCAGGGAATAGTTGTGCTGGAGTATCCAACATAGCGCATCTGCCAGCAGGTTGAAGAGAGCCGGGGAAGACCGCAGCCTGAATGGCAGGACCTTGTCGAAATAATACTGCCCGTCCCACACCATGCCTAGGAGGGGCCAATCGTGTGGGTGGACGGGGATGTTGCGGAACGCGTGGCGGATATCCACCTTGTACATTAGCGCGCCCTTCCCGTGAAGGATCACGTGCCCCACGACGACGTCCACAGTAATGTACTCGAGGCTGTACAGGTCTTCGGGAATGCAATCGTTGGTACTAGCGCCGGCCGGCGCGGATAGATGCACTATCAGGCGGTGGCCACCTGACTTCTTCGGAATGAAACCGATGCCAGCCGAATGGAAGTTGGGGAACGGCGGTTGCCGAAACGGACCGGCCGTGTGACCAAGCTGAACCTCTTTAGTGAGGTAAGCTGAAACAATCTCAGGGGAAACAAATGCCGAAGAAAGATTCTCACAAAGCAAAGAATGACGGGGACCGTCATAGCCAACTCTAAAACCATAGCGCAAACCATCTAACAAATGGGCAACAAATGCAGGATCAGGGTGTGCGAGCAATTCAATTTCCAATGCCTGCAGAACAATTGGAGTGTGAGGGGTGTGCGTGGGTAAGGCAGGGTGTGTATGTGCGTGCGAATCAGACACGAATGCATTAAAAACAACAGGAGTGTGAGGTGTGTGCGTGGATAAAGCAGGATACGGACTAGCCGGGGTCTCACTGGCCGGCGAGAGCCCCGCACCGGGTGGCGACGTGGTCGGGAGCTCCGCAGGAGCTGCAGACGTGGCGATACCTACAGTTCCGAAAATTACACCGGCCCTTGTTGTGCAGCTCGCACGCTGGCTGGGTCGTGCCGGGCTTGCGCTGGTCCCGGGAGGTGCAGGTGTTGGCGCCGCGGTGTGTCCGAGACGCTTGCAGAGCGGGCAGAGAACGAGCGCCTGGCCTGTGAAACAGCGGGTGTACAGGTCCTGATCCACCACATCCCACTGCATGCCAGGGCTGTGGGCGAGTTTCCGACGGAACTCCTCGTCATATTGGCACACCGCCGCCCACCTATATCGTTTCGCCGCTTGAATGATACGAAGCTGATACGTGATCAGCGACACCGCCCTTGCGGGTTGGGTGTCGCAGATCAGTGCGCAATACACCGACCATGCCTCCAGCCAAACGGGCGGGCTCTCCAGCTTGCGGCGGAATGGCAGGGACGGGGAGAGCACTAGCTGGCCGCTATCCTCTGACACCCGGACTCGCTTTGCGGCTGGCTCGTCCGCGAGGGGGGTGAGGAACAACGCAAGCTCCACATATTCCCCGCGCAGCACCTTGTCGTACGTACTACGGGGCACGTGGTCAGTCACCCCATTACGGGACCCGGCATTGACAGCACTAGGGTTACACACAAAATCATTGTACGGAAGACTGCTAGAGATATTCACACTTGGAGTAGGCACACGAGAGCTATGGATAGTCACACTACTAGGGGGAGACAGCCCGTCGACGACAGTCGACGCAGCCACAGGGGTAGGGGGGCTAGCACTAGTAGGCACACGTGTGGAACTACTACTACACACACCCGTACCTGTAGGAAACGACTCCTCCACCTGCACCCGAGGATCGGCAGTGTTGGCAGGGGCAGCCAGGCGGGACGGGAGGCGTGTCGACTCCGTCTGACCCAAGGCTGCAGGGGTGACGGCTCTAACAGCCGCCTGGAACGATGTGGCGATCAAGGCCTGGAGGGTTGCCATTTGGCCAGGAGAACACCCAGGTGCCGGAGCCGGCGTTGCCGGGGGAGCAGGGGGTGCTGCAGCAGCAGGAGGAGCTCGAGCAGCCATGCTGCCGGTGGGGGGAGCAGGGGGTGCTGCAACAGCAAGAGGAGCTCGCGCAGCCATGCTGCGGGTCACGGCACGTCGGGTGCTCATCTCAGCAAGTAACGGAGAAGAGGGGAAACCTCGGAAGGAAGAAAAAACTTTGACTTGCAAAAAACTTTGACTTGACACAGAAACTGCAACTGCAAAGAACGCTCCTTCGCACAAAGACAGCTCAGCAAAACACGTCTCCAAATAATTAGACGCCGGATCCACGATTGTCCATAAAATTTTGCCAGGCCACACGCGGCGCACGCGGCTTAATCACGAGGTGGTCACGTGACACGCACTCGCAGCACTCCACCACCACTAGCATGCGTGTGCATATGGGCTAACTAGGCTTTGCTGCGCAAAGCCCACATTTTGGTACAAACTTTAGTTATTTCGTGCCCCCTAACGAATATAGCGAAAGTTAATTCCAAACAAAAAATTGTACTTATACAGTATCTGTTTCTTCTGTTGTTTTTGTTGCAAACAGATGGAGTCACTCCAGAATACCTTTTTGAACTGGAAAGAGCAAAAAGAGATGCTGCAAGGCGTGGTGACACAACAAGCGTCCGCTTCTTGCACATTGCAATTCTTGGAGCTGCACGTTGTGGAAAGACAAGCTTGCTGAAGACCATACTGGGTGAAGAGCATGACCCCGGTGAGAAGAGCACGCTTGGAATGAAAACTTCATTCGCCGTCACAACGATTGAAAATGGCCAATTCATAGTATGCAGTGATATTATTGAAGCGCTGCGGCAGCTGTACGTAACAACGATACTGAAGGACGAACAAAGCGACTCTAAAAGACTGCAAGAAACAGATCACTCCACTCCTCCACACGGTGATGCCGCAAGGTCACAAGAAGTTACGTTTGGCGGAGCTGCACCAATTCTTCCTGGAAATCCTTCACGGCAAATCCTCATCAGTGAGCCTTCAGTAGGAGGAGAAGACTTCGTGCAACGTGCAATAGAAGCCATCCGTTCTTCAGACATGGTGAAGTACATCAAGGAAGCTGCTGCCAAACCTGACTTCACCGTGATCACATTTCAAGACCTCGCTGGTCAGCAGATCTACCAGTCTGTACAGCCACTGCTCATAATGAAGAACACCGCATTCATAGTGGCGTACAATGCATCAAAGAATTTGGAGGCGGAGATCGATGAGAAAGAGCTTGAAGAAATGCAGATGGCTCAATCACCAATCCTGCGTGCGACTTTGCCAAGTGATGCTACCCACATTGATCAAGTATTCTCATGGCTCGACATGCCACTCTTCCATAGCAAATCTGATCACACAGACGAGACATCAGGAGATGTGTTCATGGTCGGTTGTCATGGAGATGTCTATGACGAAGAGAAGGTCAAGGAAACCCTGCCAGATCCGAAAGGGTTGCTTCACAAAAGGATCAAGGAATCGCGGTACAAGCGACTGGTATCTAATCAAAAGTCACACTTCCTAGTCAACAACACCAAGTCCAAGTCAGGTGACGATGATGGTGCCAAGGCCCTGAAGAAGGCCATTGCTGATCGCTGTGAAGACAGCAGGCTCAACATTCCTGTGACATGGCTGCGCTTTTGCATGGCCATTGAGCTGTTGAAGACAACCATCCAGCTACCATGGCTGGACTTAAAATGTGTTCAAGGCATTGCTGAAGACCTGGATGCCATCGAGAGAGACGATGATGAAGGGATGAAGGAACTGCTGAAGTATGGCCACGAGTCCGGTCATTTGGCATACTTCCCCACTCGTGAACTCAAACACCTCGTTATTCTGGACAAGCAATTTGTCCTGGATTGTGTGACTGCCCTGGCATACGTCGACTTGGAGGACAGCTGCGATGCCATGTCGCCGTCTGAGTACGATGAAGAACGCTATGGCAAGGGCTTCATATCTGAAGATTTGGCCAGGTTTGCCTTCAACCAATTTGCCAAAAAAGCAGAGAAGACAGCACATTGGAAACTGCTTCAGGACCATCAAGATGAATGGAACAGTGCATTCCATATTCTCCAAGAGCTGTCAGTCCTAGTTATCACTCCGCGCACTGTTGGCAATGGACAAAAGAAGCAAGAGTTCATTATGCCAGCAGTAGTACCGAACGAAGCACTAGAAGAAGCCAGATCTGCTGATCTGTCACCGCCAGCATACATATGTCTTGAGATGACAGGGGAAGAAGGACACCAAATCCCGTTTCCTGTCTTTCTCTACTGGCAGTGTGTGGTTGAGATGCTCAAGGAGTCGCCGAACCGCACCGATTGTAGTGTATCTTTCAATGGAGTGCGGCTATACTGGGTCAAGGATGATTGGCAGTGGTTACGGCTTAGCTATGCCCGGTTCGGTCTAAGGGTGTGTCTGGAGCGGAGCTCAGAGGCACAGGATTGTGCCAGCACAGGCCAGCCAGCGCTAGCACTGCTCAAGTCAACTGTTCAGAATGTGCTAAGCGAATGGTCGGGAAAGGGCAAGCTGCAGGCAAGCGTTGTGAAGGTTCTTCCATGCCCAACGGACTGTAAGCACCCTTCTGGCGTGAAATGCTTGGAGCATGGGAGAAAGTCCTGCAACAACAGCTGCCCACATGCTCTCCACAACGTGACTGTGGGTTTGGTGCCTGTTTGCCGTCTTCCTCGCCCTCCAGTGACACAGATGATACGCCAAGCAGCAAAGTTTTGGCTCGGCCTTGAGCAGGTATGTGTATATGTCGGTTTGCGTGTGTGTTTGTCACTATGTGTGTGTGTGTATGTGTGTGTGTTCACGCGTGCAAGCATGCGTGTGTGTGCATGCGAATGCGGTGCATGTGTGTGTGTGAATGCGAGCGTTCGTGCATGGTGCATACATGCGTACGTGTGTGCGTGTGTGGTGCATGTGTGTGTGCATGCGAGCGTGCATGCATGGTGCATACATGCGTACGTGTGTGCGTGCATGGTGCATGTGTGTGTGTGCATGCGAGCGTGCGTGCATGGTGCATACATGCGTACGTGTGTGCGTGCGTAATGCATGCTGAATTTCAGGGTCCATACTTTCTATTCAATGTATAAAAACCGTATTTTCTGGAGTATACGCCTCACCGGAGTATAAGCCGCACCCAGATATTATGTCACGAAATATCGACATCTATTCTGTATTCGGTCTATAAGCCGCATCCCTCATTTGCTGCGTGAACAGTTCTTTTCATTGCCGACGACTTTGAGGTTTTTTCGCCAACCCTGCGTTCACCAAAGTGGAATTTACGGCCAGCAGCACGATAGCCTAAGTAACCGGTGTACTTATGCTAAGGCATCCATGTAGTTTAAGATACTCTGTACTCTTCATTTTGTATTTCCCGCTTCTTTGCCATAATGATTATTCAGAACCCATTTGGGATAGAAGAGCGCATGCTCCAGTGTCATGTAACTCCATCCTATCATAAAGCTTAGCCAGAGCAGCTAACACTTGGCTAAAATGTCCTTTCCCGAGGCACCCTCATGGGACAGGTTTCATAGCTTGATAATAGGACGGAGCTATAATTATGACACAGAAATGAAGTATACGAACAAGAAAGAATGAAGGCAAGAACCACTGGAGCATGCGCTCTTCTATCCCTGATGGGTTCTGAATAATCGTTATGGCAAAGAAGTGGGAAATACAACATGGTGAGTACCGTATTTCTCCGATTATAAGTCGCACCTTTTTACACTAAAATTCAGGGTAAAAAAGGGAGTGTGACTTACAATCGAGCACGACTTACTACTGAAGTGAATATATCCAAACGATATTGCTCAAACCTAAAAATGGGGGTGCGACTTATAATCGAGTGCGACCTATAATCGGGGAAATACGGTACGGAGTATCTTATACTGCATGGATGTCTTAGCAAAAGTCTTGTCCTAAGTACACCCATCATAGCCAGCAATCGCATGTCATCTCGTACATTGAAAATCAACATAATTTTGCGAATCGACCTTTTTTTCAGGATCACTTTTCAACGAGGACAAAGCAAAGTCGGCCGAACGAAGCCTAGAGGAAGAAAATCACCCTCTCCACTTCACCATCACGATACTGACATAGATACGAGATGAAACAACTAAAAAATTCACAAGAAAACTGTACGACCATCATCGCGCTGACTTTGGTCTGAGAATTTCTATCACGATCAAAAATGTACGAGGAGCACTCAAAAATCAGCCACAGACGTACCTTTATCGCTCTCTACTCCTTTTTCAAGGCACAAAAGTCGACTCTCCACTTTCAAACCAGGAACCAGACATACCAGTGGTCCTTTTCAGCTGCTCCACGAGCGCAGGAAATGTTCACCAAGGGGCGCAGAGCAGCATCCATTCCAGAAAAATAGCTAAAATACGAGTGAGACTGCATGCCTGAGTACATGAGTACATGTATGAGTACATGCAGAAAATAGTCAATTTCAGCGTTTCTGCTCCAAACAGCAACTAGCTTCGACTAGAAACAAAGATTACACCAAAGGATCAAACAACAACCATTTTCTGAAGTTTTTTTTGCAGATGGCTTCCTTGTGCTTGGCCCAGCACGCCAAAAATCACACCTCGGAGGAGTACAAAAATTACAACTCTCAGATGTCCTTGATTGCTGGCCATGTAGACCTACTTGCTTTGCAGATTCACTGACTCTGAGCTTGAAGAGAGTCTCATAGCCGCTACGTTTGGACACTGCCATGATTCAGCTTTGAACAGCAGATGAAACTGAAAAGGAACGACAATGAGCAAGAGAGAAAGTGACTTGTATCAAAATGTCCGGTCATTGATCCAATGTGCGATATCCGTACGCATGCACCCAGTTGTGTCGCCATATATGGTCGTCACAGTGCACTGTTGTTTTTGAGAACGTGTGCATGTAAAATAAAATAGATTACTGAAAAAATGTCCAGTTACGCAGCCTACCGCACGCTACTTTGTGCACAGTCCGGTTGACCATCCTACATGTAGGCCATGGGAAAAGTATGTTCGGCTCTCGAGCACGTGCGCACTGATGTTTGGCGGCACACCAGAAGCTGTATTATTATTTCTGTACAGCATGTAAGGCTGGGTTGTAGCGTGTTCAGAACAGAATGCCACATCACTGTGACTGTTAACTGCGTTCAGATTGTATGCAATCACCGCACTGCTTACCGCTGTGCGCATGTCTCCCGCTGAGCTATGAGGAGTGAAGCCTAGCCTAGTGTAGCCTAGCGTAGCTGCGCGAAACACGACTGCAATGTGTATTGTGTCCTGTCATGTCTACTGCATGCAGTCCGAGGCTGCAGTCTAGCTGTGTGTAGCAGGATCTGGGAATGAAACATCAACCGGTCGATGTTGCATTGAGAAACATTCCTCCGTGTGATATAAAAATCCACCCGCTCTCACTGATTTTCACATGCTGATGTTAACCTTAAATTAAAGCGGTACCAACTTTTCTTGGGTGAATTATGAGTGTTTAGAACGAGGTCTGTCTCGTTGTCCAGGAAACGACCAACCAGCGACATTCCCGCCAAGGGCTTTATCAGAGTTTAAAGCCCGCTCAATCATAATTTTACTACTCTTGATGACGCGTCGAGGGCCTTGGATTAGTTTAAAGCCCGCTGAAGATACTCTAAACGGGTGCGTACAACTCCTGTATTTATACTAGTACGTTGCAGATAATGAACTCTGCATAAAATGTACGGTGTACTACTAAAAGCTACGCATTTGAGAAGTGTGTACGGTTTTTGCCTCCCGTATTCTTTCATCTATACGATTTTCCTTTGTCAACAGCGGGCGGAAACCTATAAAACCGAAGATCAAAGTCATTAGAGGTATCGGCAAGGGGCTCTCAAAGCCCCTAAATAGCTCCACAAGCTATGAATAAGAATGAAGCTCGCAATAAGAGCCCAGCATTTCATTTGCTTCCCTTCTACTTTTAGTAGTCCTCAGTGGTGCTGAGTTACCATAACTTACCGGAAGAAAATATTCTTTCATACCACACCAAGTCTCTCTGCACACAAACCACAAAACTACCCAATAATTATAATGGTACAAAAGCATAATGGAAGCGAGATAATGCATGTAACCTCGTTCTAAAATAGTTAGTGCATGGCAGGGAGGGTCTTATGGCTTGTTTGTGCCCTTCAGGGTAGCCCTCGGGCCTACGGCCCTCAGGCTAACCTGTCGGGCACTAACAAGCCATAAGGCCCTCCCTGCCATGCACTAACCTATAATTAAAGTTCGGTGGACATGTATACTCCAGAAAATGCAATTCCTGTTGAACAATGAGCTACTTCTGGCTAGGATAACTCTTGTGTAATTACTGGTGCTGGTGAAGCCTATATCAGATCCACTCAACTCTAATTCAGCCACTTGGTCTGCACATGTTACACACACTACAGTGCATTCATCCGAAATACTAGTAGCCGCCAGCTTGCTACTGCTCAGTCGCTGAGAATGCGTTGGAAACCTGCTCAACGTCACACCGTGGCTTGTGGTGCGTCACATGCCTTCCTCCCTCTCAACGCTCGACCACCCATCGGAGGCAGACGCCTGCTACTCCAGTCTGAGGCAGGTCATGGCAAAGGTACACGAGAAGATGCACGATGAGAATGAACTCAGCACGCCCGGCATGCGCACGTCCTACGCAACTACAAGCATCTCTGATGACTGTCGATTCATCGAATGCCCAGACATGCCAGATGCTCTGAGTCGACTCTAGGTCCTCACCATGATGTGCAAACCATCCACTTCGAATCATCCCCAAGACAAAGAGACAACACAAGATGACAGAGAGAGAGCCCCAGCAGGAGAGAATCCTGTGGCTGGGACCCATGCAGGACCTATGGAGGACAGCAGTAGCAGCAGCAGCAGCAGCAGCGACGGGCCAGCAATGCGCGAGGAAATACCACAAGACCATCACAGGATTTCTCAACGCAGACCGGGTAAAGTACATCTCTGACCGGGCCAACACGCCCGACTATACCGTCATCACATTCCGCGACCTTGGAGGGCAGCAAGTCTACCAATCCGTGCAGCCCCTCTTCATGGCCAAAAACACAACCTTTATTGCCACATACAACTCTTCTCTGGACCTTCTAGAGACCCTTCCCAAGCTCGATAAATTTCAGTTCAGCCAGGAAGAATGTATCGAGCGGGCCACTCTACCGGCCAATGCGACTCGCCTAGACCAGCTGCTAAGCTGGCTCGACATGCTGCTGCTGAATGCGAAAGCTGACAGCAGCACAGATCAGAGTGCTGCAGATGATGTGTTTGTAGTGGGGTGTCAGAGTGACATGTGGAAGAAAACCGATTTGCCTGATCCTTGTAAACTACTTCGAAAGAATATCGAAGGTTCGCCGTATAAGAACCTTGTCTGGACCGAAACATCGTACTTCAAAATCGACAGCACCAGATCCACTGGAAGTGCAGCACAAGCAGATGAGCTGCAGCGATTGAGAGAGGCCATCATCGACCGCTGCCGGAAGAGCCAACGTAACATCCCTGTTCCATGGCTCCGATTCTGCATAACCAGGCGCGTGCACCGTATGAGTTTTTTGGTGTCTGGAAACCACCTTTTTTCGGGGAATCTTGCCAAAAGAAAAGGGTGTAGTACTGGATTGGTTATCGATCCTGCAAACGTATCGATCGACCGGCAGTTTACAGTACAGTGACTATGTCCTTATTTCGAAGTGAGAGAGAGTTGCTTTGCATGCAGTTCGAAATACATTATTCTCTTTTTCTTCAGTGGAGAGTAGCCACGGAGGGATCGATCTCTAGCTCTGGTTCGCTCCTGGATTGGCGATGACGTTCAAGAAATCCGTTTTGTCTCGAAATTTGAGTCAAGCACGCGCGATGCAAGTCAGTTCAAGGATATGATTGACGATATCTCCTTCCAAACCGTTGACTCAAATCAAGATCGCCACAGCCTTTCGTTCTCGCTCATGTGCGCAGCAGAGATGTTCGTCAAAAACGTTGTCGACTGGAAGACGTAAAAATGTGCGTCCATGATCCACTTGCGCTGCTTCAGAACGAAGCGCTGCTCCGGCCGCGACTCAAGGACGCGGGGCTTCGCTTTTCTTCCGCGAGCTTCCATCGAAGCAAGGTCCATAACTCTCTATTGAAATCATGTGGAACATTGCCAATACATGCTGAAAACTTCGTCATAAGAACAGAAAGAAAGATACGTCGAATGTAAGCAGTGTTTTGATGAAACAAACAAGCCTGGAGTGGACTAGTGAAGTACCATAGTCTGATAGACATAATGTTATAGACTGTAGTGTAGCCTGGGCAGCTAGGCCTATCAAACCTTTACGTGTTCAATAATTTTAATTATGACAAACATGCATATGAGTACATTGACTTTTGCACCCTTTTTGCAAATGCTTTTTGAAGTGCTGGTATGTAAAAAGGTAACCCATTTTATCCTGCTATCGATTATACATGTACCAACATTTCCATGTAACCGGCATCGTCCCCTCCCTCCATTCCTCTTTATTCTTATTTCTGTCCTTTCTACCCCTGTACCTGGTTCCCTCTCAGACGCGTTTGTGCCGGCATGATCTGATGATAGCAGTCGGACGAGCCCCGCATCTCATCAGCACCAGTGTTCATTGACATTGGTGCCCTGCACCCCTGATCTTGAGTCCCCCCCCCCCCCCCCTCCTCCCTAGCCGGCTGCCCTCGCCGTTATCTTCGACGGGATGTTCGGGGGATGCGCATGTGCACAAAATTCATACATAATTATACAATGGGGCCCCAGAAAAAAATTACCAACTCTAGAAACCCCCCTTTCAAGACTCGGTGCACGCCACTGATAACCATACACACGCTCAAGCAGGAGGTCACGTGGCCTTGGATTTCCTTCAAGGAGGCAAAGTTCATAGCGAAGCAAGTCAAGGCTGTTCCACATGACTGCAGTGACCAGCAAATACAGCTGCTGCTGAAGTACTGTCACGAAGCAGGCCACCTGGCGTACTTCCCAACTTTCAAGCTGAAAGACACGGTCATCCTGGAGCCCCAGTTCATCCTGGACTGTGTCAATGCCTTTGTCTACATGAAGCTTGACCGTGACATCACAAGGCACGAAGAGCAGCGCTATAAGTCTGGGTTCATGACGGAGTCCCTGGCACGCAAAGCTCTCAACAAGATGTTCGAGGGTCAGTCTTACTGCGACCATGCTAAGGCGTGGCAAGCAGTCAGAGCAAGCAGTGATGGGTTCAAGCTCATTTTTGAAATCCTAGAATGGCTCTCAGTCCTGGCAATTGTGCAGGATGAGCACGAGTTTATTGTACCTGCAATCGTCCGGGACATGGGCACGGACCCCCAGCTGCCTTGTTCCTGTGCCTACGTGTCCTTTAAGCACGCAGACAGCGATGAGTTGATGCACTTTCCCGTGTTCGTGTACTGGCAATGCGTGGTGGAGGTGCTGCTGAAGTCACACAATCGCTCGGCTGCCATGCTGTCACGGTGCAGCGTTCGCCTTTGCTGGAACGATTGTCCATGGCTGCACCTGCACTATACACGCTACGGCTTACAAGTGTACGTCCACTGCGTGGGCCGACCCGGCGGCAGCGGATAGTCTACGCTGGATTAAGTCCGGGCAATCGTGCTCACAGTGCTACAGAAGTGGGGCCTGCAGGTCGAAGTGATCAGCACATTGCCATGCCCCTGCGGAGAAACATCGGGCGAGGAGTGTTTACAGCATGGCTTATCTACCTGCTGCGCACCAAGCTGTGCGCACGCCTTGGACGCTTCCACCCTAGTGGCTGAATACTACCCACTGTGTACACGTTCAAAGAAGCGGGATATACAGATGATCCGTGAGCAGGCCATGTTCTGGCTGGGTCTTGACCAGGTGAGAGACTTGACCTGATTGAATTCCCGCAGCTATGCAAAAGACGTTACGTTAGAAGCGCCTGCCGCTAGCTTTACAGCGGCGGATCCAGAGTTCAGCTGAGGGGAGGGCGCGGGTAATATCCATGACAGGGAACCCATGCGGTACATGTATTTTGTACACATTACGACATAGCGGCTATTTTACGTCTCAGGCTTACCGTAATTCCGTGCGTATAAACCCACGGGCACATCCGGATATAAGCCCACCTCCGTTTATAAGCCCATAGGCTTATAAACAGACACAAATGCAACTCGCGTGTCAACAATATTTTTTCACAATGTGGACTCTTCCTACCAAGGTACAGCAGGTCAGTGCAGTTTACCAGTAGAGTATGGTAGACCCACTATGAGCACGGACTTGTACTTTTTCGTGAACCTTCAAAATTCGAATATTGGCCCATGGGCTAAAAAACGAACATGTTTTACTGGATATTTTATCCCCAAACTGGCTTATATGCGCGGAACTACGGTAGCGGTTATGTCTATTTTAGCACATGCACTCACTCCCACTTTTTCAACCACTTCATTGCATTGAGGACTCTGGCTGTAGAGGAACATCGCCGCACTACATTGAACTGTGTAAAGATAGTGCTTCAAAGCTCAAGACATGCTGAGATGAAGAACAATAATGCTGCGTAGCAGTGCCACCAGCCACATCATTCGTGACAGTCACAACGTCGTCATCTGCGATAGTTTCAACAGCTAAACGCTCCTGACTCGCATCACTACTACTGACAGTCCCACCATCGTCGTCAGAATCTACTTCAGATTCCATTTGGGGAAGATCAGAGTCTGAGCAGACCTCAATCTCAGGACTCTCTCTCTCTCTCTCTCTCTCTCTTTCTCTCTCTCTCCACACTATACTTTTCGCTATATACTTTTTCAATCTTTTTTTGTTTCTCTTCTTCTCCCGATTTTCTGATGCGTGAAGTAGGCGCGGATGCCGAGACCATTGGTCGGCAGAGCCTGCAGCACCCCATCACCACCGCTGCGCTGCATTTGCAGCCCCATTCAGTCAATGTCTTGTTAGTCTGTTGTTTTGTCATTTCCTGCTTCTTTCTTCTTTTACGAATTGGGTGCGTGGTTTCAAGTAAATAAAAAAATAAAAAAAACCTTCGCTGTGGTCCGAATTCTCCTCCAAAGACGGATCGCTTGACTGAGCAGCTGACGAAGCGCAAGTTCGCTTCGCGAAAAATCCGTGGAGAGTTTGTTGGCTCCCTGGCCGCTTGGGCGGGCGGTGCGCCATCCCCTTCACCGACTTAGCTATACAAGTTCGTCAACTGAAAACTAATTTCAAAACTAATAGTCAAACAACTACTCCGTGTTCAGAAGAACTTTCTTATCTGACACTAGAAACTACTTGTCACAGTATGACTGTGACTTGCGCAACTGCCCACGAAAAAAAAGAAAATCGAAATATTTGAGGGGAGGGCGCGCGCCCACTGCGCCCTCCCCTAGATCCGCCTCTGCTTTAGTTCATATGTTTTTGTGGGGGGGGGGGGGGGGGGGGGGCACGAACAAGAGACAAGTTCCACCAGGCCTTGTTGTAATTCTGTGTTATTTCTGTTTAGGAGGAGAGTTCTTCACACACAAAGTTGCACCATTTCTCTATTTTCTTAAAACTTGCCACGTATTCCCGTCATGTGGATGAGGAGATAACCATTTTGAGCCTACTCTGACTTCGGCGATTATGGCTTGTGCGTGTGCGTGTTTGCATGCATGTGTGCTTTTGCTCGTGTGTGTTTACATGTATGTGTGTGTGCGTGTGTGTGTGCGTGCACGGGTGTGGGTGGGCATGTGCGGGTGTGTGCGGGTGTGTGTGTGTGTGCGTGAGTGCGGGTGTGTGCGTGTGGGCGTGGGCATGTGCTTGCGTGTACTTGGTCTCTTGCAATACCTGCAGGATGCACATGGAAGGCTGTTTGAGCCGAGATCGACCTCTCTTCCTTCAGGTTAGTTGGATGCACAATTCAAACAGATCTGCTACTTCCAAATGATGTTTTGCATGATGTCCGCATTCGTGTGAACCTTTAGTCGCAAGGAAACCGTACGCTGTTCTATTTTCGTTTTGTGGTAGCTATTCCCGTTCGGGTATTGAACACTGCATGAGCACAGGACCATATCTGCTGTGGATAGAATGTAAAATGTGAGCCTCTTCTCACCGCAAGCTGGTGTTTGATCCCAACCAACACTGCAGTTCTGACTCTGTTTTGGGCTCTGGACGACTGACATTACATTGTCATAGAATTGCTATGGGGTCGCTGTCATATTTTGTCGTCCTGAAGCGAACATGAAGCGAACATCGTTCGTGGCAGAGGAGGAGGAGGGTGCGAGGTCGAAAAATCATAACTTGCTCTACAGTGCACTACGTGTACATGCACTTGATTTGTGGTGTCCAGCATTGCAAACTGTGTTCATTTTGGAGGAGTGAGGGGTCCGTCCGAGTACGAAATGAACCATGTTTGTTTCAGTGGCGACAATAAACTTCTGCAACAAACCGTGTGTGCGTGCCCACCTGTGTGTGTACATGTATACGTTGCATCTGCATGTGTGTGTGTGTGTGTGTGTGTGTGTGTGTGTGTGTGTGTGTGTGTGTGTGTGTGTGTGTGTGTGTGTGTGTGTGTGTGTGTGTGTGTGTGTGTGTGTGGTACCTTCAACATGCCTGTATACTGTCTTGCAACAACGTTGTGCAAAGACATTCTGAGATCTTGCTGCCAATGGCACATGTGTTGCATGTGGCCAGTGTTTCCTATGTGTTCGCTGATGCGTCTGATGGCCTTTGCACCTTCTTTATGTGTTCTCTTTTTGATTCTGTTGCAGTGCAAGATTCAAGTGAAGCTAGTTCTCCCACTCCTGCAACCGATGGTGCTTCGCTTTGCGATTTTAGGTTAGTATTTTTGTTGTGTGGTTAAACTTACTCTAGTTGGAGTTCCGGGCCGGCACATAATCAGCTCTCGCCCTTCCGATTGCAGCTTTCATAGCTCAGGATTCTGTGACATTGGCCGAAACAAATGGCAGCCTACAACATTATGCAGGCTTGCAGTGCATATACTGTAAACCGTGAAATTATTGCGATGGTCTAATTTCTGCGAAATTCACGACCGCGTGGAAATCGCGAAATTTAGACAGCGCGAAAAGGAGATTCATGAAGGGTTTAGCAAGAATGCCACAGTAGCACATTCTGCAATCGCAAAATTAAAACCTCGCAAACCTGTCCAGATTCTGAAAACGCGAACTAAAAACGCCGCGAAAATTTCACGCTTTACAGTAGCAGTAGTCATGTGATTAAACAATGGCCAAAGCATTCGTTTGTTGGCTCCTTGAAATATACTCTTGTCAATAAATTCAGTTTCTATTAAAGTTGTAAGTATACATTCTAGTTTGTGAGCTATACAAATGTCTACTTATAAGCTCAGTGAGAACATTGGCTTCCATGCATTTCCCCTTTATTCAACCTGTGTGCACATGCTGCAGGTGGAAGACACTGGCACAGATCGAAGATTGGCTAGACTTCGAGTCTGCACTCCAGAACTTTGTCACAGGCGAGGAAAGAAGTGAGCTGAACTTTAAAACTGATGTGGTTCATGTCAATGGCCATTGCTACTATTATTATTGTAAGCTTAACCAAGTAGGCTTGGCTAGCCTTCGCAAAAGCCGAACAAAGTAAAGGAATGAGGAACGAGCCGAGCCAAAAGGCTCACAACACATGCCAGTGCAAAAAAGGAAAAATAATGATAGTTCAAAACTTGAACTGAGGACTTCTTGCATGTGATTTTGTTGTATTTTGAGACAGTCGAATTGTGTTAGTGTTACTAGTTTATCGTTAGCTTACTACAAGTAGTTTGTTGTTGTCAAAGGAGAAAATGGAATTTTGAGTTCTGTACACTATTTCACGTCACATTGTAACGGAGCGTGACTTCAACTGCACAATGGCCCAACCCCAACCAGGCCGAGAAACCAGGGATGCAAATAAAATGTTATTGCAAGAGTTGAAGTAACATGAAGAAGAAGGAAAGAACAGAACCAGCGAAACTACGTCCTGCACAGACCATCTCCGATCGGGAACTTACCCAGGTCGCCGGAAACATGAAACAGTCACAAAGCAAGCCGTGCGCAGCAAGTAGATTTACCATGCATGTACTGTTGTGATAGGACTACATTTGTAGGAGCAACGAGCTGCAGAATTAAATGCATATAGCAAGTAGTAGCATGAAGCGAAGCACCAGCATGGCATGAGAGTCAGAAACTGCAGTTGACACCTATTGTAGCCATAGATGTATCAGGAAGCATGCATACTCTCAGGTGCAAGACACAATAGCTATTTTTAAGGGGACGGCACACCCATACAACAGAAACAGAATGAAAGCACACCAACAAGGCACAGATGCAGCTCCTGAAGCGGTGGGAGGCGAGTGGATCAGCTCGCCAGCAAGTGGTCAAAGACCGATAATCCCATTCACTGCATTAACTGTGGGTCGTAGCACGGCTGGAAAAAATCCTTCCATAACCAGGACTTTAACCTGGTACCCTCTGTTTCTCAATTATGGTCTTAGACCATCCCACTATGCCTGCCTGAAATCAAGAAAAGTGGCTGTTGAAATGTTGATTTTTACTGAAATTACAAATTTTGGGCCAAACTTGGGGGTACGGCGTAGCCCGGATTGCTAAAATTTCTGGAAGAACCAGAAATAATGAACTTATCTTTTATTATAATTATCTTAAAAATAGTAGCGAAAGCTTCCGGAATTTTTTCCATCCCCACTGCGTTTGGAATGTACACGTCTACACGACCATGAAAATCATTAAATGTGCCTCATCCAACCCTGTCCTAATACATTTTGTCATGTTTGCGTTGCCTTTTATCCCTTTTTTCTTGAAGGAAATCTTGGTAGAGCTGCAGTGATCTTGGTTGATGACGCGATGAGGAACGTCTACGGTGCTGAACTAAACCGATTCCATGAAGCGAATGCTGACGTAATCCGTGGGGAAGGGAGAGGCATGGATAACCTATTCTGCATCATTCTGTACCTCATCAACAAGAGGCAGGGAATGACCATCAACGAACTGTATGGAATGCTGGCTAAACATGCAGAAAGCCATCGTCGCGATATCTGGAAGGCCCTCTCGTAAGTGTGCAGAGAAGGCCTGTGCTGTTAGTGGTGAACACGTATGCTCTTGTATCTAGGCAGTCATAGCATCGCAGGGAAGATACAAGAGCATTGCGCCCAGCATGATGTGCTTCTGAGCATCAGATTTGAAAGTTCTACATGCTCCTTGGTCTATGCAACGCGCAACCACAATCTTGCCCATCACCAGCTGACCTTGGCGGCAGCCAAGACCAGTGGCAGTGGTAGAATATGTGAGCGTGTACAGCATTGGCCCTGCCCCTCAGAGCAAGTGAAAAGGACAGGCTGAGAGCGAAACACACCTTATTTCATATTCCACTCTGTACATCTCTGCACTCACGCTGCGATTTCACTCACTTCTCAACGGCATTATCAGCTCACTCACCCTTACCGAGAAGTCGCCACCTAACTTGTATTGATTTTATCGATGGTGCTGGGAACAAGGTTGGCCAGAGAGTGCATTCCCTAGTGGACAGATTAAAGTTATTCGAGTCAATGAGCCAAAAGCTGCTGCTCACCCTTCTTCATATTGATCATCGATAAAGTCGTTGCAGATCGTTTGTCCCCGAAGAACTGACTGTGGATATCCAGTGATTTGACCCCAGCATTGGTTTCTGGTTTTGTTTTCTAACAGGGAAGCTGCATACAATGATTGAGCAAGCACTGCGTTGGGAAAGGAACAGGTAAAAGGCAATGCTATCAACTACCAGTGCACCTAGGAATCCAATCTGTACTTACTCCCTTCTATTCCCGTGCTGTCTCCTGCCCTTTCACCATTGTAGGGAAGTGAAGACTTTGTCTCTTTTGCGTTGCAGCCTATAGCCTATGGGCTTGTAACAAGAAAGTAGTGTTATGTTCCAAAGTTAGCCATCACCTAATTAAGTAAGAGACAACCAGCTCCAGTGGTTGTCACCTTTCACCACTGCTGTCATTCACGCTTTGCACTGCAGCTATTTACACTTTGCTTTGTGAGGATATAAACCAATACTGATCCAGATTTCCAATTACTGTTTTCTGATGATCGCTTAGTGCGTGAAACTCTGAGTAAAAACACTTCCTCTGTCCTCCTATTGTTTGTTCCAAAGTTACTTTTGCAGTTAGTCTGTAAGGCACAGTAGCTATATATGAGTGTAGTGTATCAAAAACTGTTCTGATATTACCAGCTCCCATTACACCACATGGCTTTCTCTGACAAGCCACGCTTGATCTGATTCGGTGCACGGTGGCGACTTTCCCGTGATTGTCTTGCCACCAGGTTTCTGCAATACACCACTGTGGCACACAGAGAAGAAACCTAACATGGGTTACATGTAGCATGGCGACACTATACACCCAATGGACATAACTAAAAATATATGTTTTTTTGATGGCCTACCTAACAGCCTAACTATGAGTCTAAGCTACTTCTGTTTGCTGAGGTTAGGTTTCTTTGTGGTAATCTAGTGCTTTGTTTTGATTTTCTCTACAGGGAATCTGAGCAGAGGACATGATGGCTGACTCACCAAAGATTAGTCAGTCAATCGCATTGCTCAGCTGCTGCAATTGCAGTTACGGTATTCTCGTTGTCCGCTGTTATAATGTTATGTTCATCTATTTATCATTTATTTACACCGATCTATCCAGTTGCATTGAAAGCCCATGGAGAAGGAGCCATTTCCCCAAACCCGCGATGGCTGGCTGGCATGTGTTTCTTTTGCTGTCCAAGACCGAGGCTGTTATTGCAACTTTCACAGTCAATCATCAATCAAGAATACCTGAAACTGCTGTTCTGCAGCTGCCATAGCACTGACAGTAGTCACTGCATTTGTCTCAGTCGCATGGCAAACCTATTCCCAACCCAAACATTTACGTACATGCGCACTTGATTCTTTGATTCTTGCCCATGAGAATCACTCAGCCTATATATGAACCTTTCATCTTTCAGTGCAACACCTTTGACTATTCGAGAGCGGCAATTAGAAATGCAGGAGCGGAACGAGGTGTCACGTTTCCTGCACAAAAGATATTATCTCAGATACGCAAACCTGAACAATGACAATAATATCAATGCGGCATCGATATGCCGTGTTCATTTTTCTATATTCTTAGACTAGTATTTTCAATTATCTTGTGTCCTTCGTGGACATTTGCCTTCATATTGTGTGTGTGTGCGTGTGTGTGTGTGTGCGTGCGCGTGCGTGTTTGTGTGTGTGTGCATGTGTGTGTATGCATGTGCATGGGTGTGTGTGTGTGTGTGTGTGTGTGCAAGTGCGTGTGTATGCATATATGTATGCCCATGCATGTATGTATTAGTAAGAAGAAATCACATGGAAACGAGTTATGAAGCAACTATCCACGACTGTAACAAGATAATAAGCAGTCAGAAAGTGCGATAACAGGGCACAAAACTGACATGTTCCAAATACTGTGACATTCAACGACCTGAGATCTAGCTCTCACACACCTCCAGTGCGCGAACCAACAGCCTTCCAGCTTGGAAGGTCCAAGGTTATGGTAAGACCAATGAGGGGAAAGTGAGCGCAGCGAAAATGTCCATAAGCTAAGTCCCATGACACCAAAGAATGCCGACTGTTACAGGACCATGACGGGACCAGTTAATAACATTACAATGCGGTCTAACTACAATCGAAGCAGCAAAGCAACACACCACCCAAGTTACTTGGGTGGGTCAGCAATATCAGAGATAAAGAAAGGGGGAAGATTTGTGAATTTTTTTAAATTGTTGCTATGCTGTGACGTAGCACTTTCAAGCCCAATTCTAATGCTCACAACCCCAAATCGTGCCAATACAGGCTATAGCTTTCGGCACACTCGCACTTGGCATTTGCCAACTGCAAGAACCGGCGGCTGCCTGGGCTCCCCTCTGTATAAATCTCTCCATTCTTTCAATGGCCTCTCATCAATGTTATGCGATATTCAATCACCAGCTTTATTTTTAAGCAAAATATATCAACCCTGCTGCTGCATTCAATCTGCTCATGCACGAGCCACGCTCACCCGTACTTCTAGTTTGATCACTGCTAGCCTTGAAATTTCTGCATCATACTAATCTCACTATATTATCTCTTATGCGCTACAGGCCATCGTGAGAATAAAGATTGGAAACTACAACTGCTCCCAATGTTATCTATCCTTCTCCGTTCTTGGTATCTGCTATCCGTAGCCATAACCACCACTGATACCTGGCTGATTATCTCTGCTGTGAAAGCTGTCCTCCGTGCTCAGTTTCTGATCCAGTATGCCGCCAGTGATAACATGTATTCCAGTTTGCCATTTGGCCACCTTGCTTCCATCATCATCACTTCATTGTGGGGAAGTTGCTGGAACGGGTCTGGATGCTGAGCGATGATAAACTCTTTGTACGGCAAGCTGGCTATCATGATGCTGCCTTTGTACGGCTGCCAGGTTAGGTTGGAGATATCCGCCGTTCCCTTCACCAACACCGTCGTTACCAGTTCATTCCAGTGAGCATGTGTACATATCATTGTACGCGTAACAGCAATCAGCAGTTTTTGATTGATCATAAAAATCATGCTCTGCACTGTCCTCACAGAAGGTCAGTGAGTCATACTATCCAGAATACAGTTCCAATGGTGTTCATTGATCCGTGTGTCCCACCAAACAAGATCTTCATGGCTCTACAGTCTTTGTATCGTGTAGGTTGGGTTCAGCGCTGAGCGTTCTTTTGACACTTGAAACACAGTTGCGCTTTCCAACGGAGAGAGTCGTCAGCCACTGGCTATGCAACTCTGTTGTTGTTTTGCTGTGTTGTACGGGCGGAGCACAAAGACACAGTTGTTTCTTTGCAGCAAGCCTCGACTTGCTACGTGTGAGACTGTGGCCGCCATTGCATGCCTTTTTTCATAGCTGGCACGTTCCTCAAGAGGCTTCTGCTCCTGGAATATCCTTTCTGCTTTCACTCACTGTAATAATCGCTGGCAACCCTGGCCACGTCATTGGCCGCAGAGCTCGCTAGCAGTGGTCACTCGTCCCCTGTCCGAAATTTCCAGTCCACTGTCGCATACTCTTGGACGATACAGGTGCCGAAGGGAGCTGCACGGATACCGTAGAGCAACCAGACACTTGCGCTATTGTAACGTTAGGCAACGATTTAGATCAGTTGACCATCTAGTCACGCATCGCATTTCCATTTGACGTTTGAATGGATGTTCAAATAATATCCAACAGCCTCAATCCTCCAGTCTCAGGTCTGTGGTCATCGAAATCATGAGGATCAACACCTGTTTTTCTATAACTGTCTGGCTTTATTCAATCTTTGACCATTATCACTGCCATTGTAGGACCAACCGTTTACTCGATTCATAAATCATCATTATTTTTAGATTCTCGGATCAGTCCTTGGGCTTGGCTTTGCCGATTGGCCATGGAACCGAAAACGGTTCAGGTCGAAGCGGTTCAGGTCTTTCTTCATGCACGCATGCGCCATGGCAACCACGACCGGAGAGTCGGAGACCCCAGGCCCAGCCCATCCCCAGGCCACCTGCCCAACATCGGCCAAAGCCTCTGCAGACTGCAGTACTGAAGTACCGCACCGTTGACATTGTCATCTCCTTGGGATTATTTTCATAGTGCTGATAGTGAAGAGCGTAGATCTGTGCGAGCTTGATTCTGAACATTCCAAGCGATATTTTCGAAAGAGTTGTTTGCCTTAATCAAGTTCGCTCTGTACCTGAGCCACAACTGATGAACGGCTTGTACTTGAAAGTACGACGTATTATTCCTTGAGAAAACACAACTCTTTGATCCTAAGAAGTAAGTTATGCAGTAACTCGATGTCGATCGTGATCAGTCCGCAGTGCGAGTGAACTGTGGTCACGCGGGCAGGCAGGAGTGTGAACAATGGCAGACAGGGTGCGCTATAACATAGCCTTCCTACTTTCCAATCTAGATGCATCCTTGATCTTGGAACTCTTGCTGGAGAATGATGTGCTGGACGTTGATGAATATGATACTGCCTCTAGCAAGGAAAACGTGAAGTCTGATCTGACAAAGTACGTGGTGAGGCTGATGCTGAAGAAAACGGAGGAACAGGTGGATTCGTTCCTGAAGCTGATTCAACACAGCCAACCCGATGTTGCTAAACATGTTGCCAACACTATGGCAAAGCGACGCGATGCAACTGCCATTGGGGGAGCTGACCATCCGACGAAGACAAGGTCCGCAGATTGTGAGTCAACACTTGGCTCGTTCTCCGGTAAGTGTTTACATACTTGAAGTAGAAGATGATCCATACTGGTTACACACATAATGACACACACACTTTGCTCTGTACAAGTCACTCAGGTACAGTATCACAACAAAGATAATCTGGCGTTATTCCCGTAGCTATGCAGAAGACGTTACTTCAGTAACGTCTGGCGCTAGCCAGGGTCCACACAGCTTTAATTTGGTATTTGTTTGTGTGTTTGTTTGTTTGTTTGTTTGTTTGTTTGTGTCACGCCTGGCGCTATCCGTATCTGACGGCAAAAAAGCATAGGATGTTATAACTTTTTCAATTCTCCTATTTTTTTCAGGCATATCTTGGGATTCGAACCCGCACTATCGCCCTACATGCATTCCCCCATACACCTCGCATTCATACCCATTCTTCCAAGTTGCTTCACGTTATGATCTTGCGTTTGAAAGCCCTATTTGAATATTGCGGGCAGCTGTATGTGGCCAGCTGTGTTTGATGGTACGGTACGGTACGGGAGACGGTGTCGTATTACCCTCGATCGTACCTGTCCCGTACCTATTCCCTACCGTACCGTGCCATCAAAGACGGCTGGCCACAATGCATATTCAAATAGGGCTTTCAAATGCAAGATCACAATGTGAAACAACTTGGAAGAATTAGTATGTATGCGAAGTGTATCGGGGGATGCATGCAGGGCGCGCGATAGTGCGGGTTCGAATCCCAGGTTATGTCTTAGAAAAAAAGGATTTTTTTGAAGAATTTATAACATTCCTATGCTTTTTTTGTCTACATGTAGGTCATCAAGGCAAAAAAGCATAGCGTAGGGCCCTGAGCTTCCAAGCTCTCTCGTCAGGTGGGGCATCACTCAGGCATTGTTTGCCAAGTAAGAAAATTCAGAAATGAAACGAACACAAAGGAACACACTTGGGGCGCGTTCGAATTGTCACTCTTTGACTTTTTGAATAGTTTCGTTTTTCTGAAGCGGTGGCCGTATTGGCCTCTTCAGAAAAACGAAGCTCCTCGAATCTCCTCGAAACTCCACAACCTCATCCGATGGGAGAGGTGGATTAGTTCTGAGGAGTTTGGAATGGATGCGTCACGTAGTACGTGGAGATGGTCGAGCTGATCGGGCGTCATCATCGCCATGACAATTCCACTGAAAAACTCTAAAATGATAGAAACCGTTCTAATGGGACACTTCAACTAATCTCTTTATAAAATTTGTTTGAACAGTTGATGAAGACAATTTGAACGCAGCCTTAGCTTATCGGCTAAATTTGTTGTTGTGAACCTTGGAAGGCAAAGTCAGTTTACCAATACCTTCAGTATGTGTCTATCAATGACCAGTGCACAGTGGACAGATAGTAGGTAGGTGCATGGGTGGGTAGGTAGTTAGGTAGGTTGGTGGGTAGGTAGGTAGGTAGGTAGGTTTTATTGTTTTACTAGGGGACTCCCAACAGGTCAAGGCATTTTACAAGTAACCTAGGAAAAGCCGGATTTGGTCTGTAATACAATCCCAGGAAGAGATACAGCTTGGCGGCATTGGTGGGATACTGTGTTACTCCACCTGAATATTCACAAGTAATTCACAAGCACACGTGTATACAGGTATTTGTATTGTAATTTTTCTACATCCCATAGCACGTAGTTTCCAATCAAAGAGGAGGGGGTGGAAGCCAACCACGGGTGAGAAGCATAAAGAAAATAAATTAATAGAAAGAAAGGGTGCATGCGTTCACAGTACACACTGCACTGGTACGGCAACTGCTGTATGTATCACTACGGGATCGTGTTTGATTGGGAATAGGAACCGTACGCTGTTCAGCAAGCATCCTCAGACCAAGACCATACAACTTAAAGTACAGAATGCTACAGGTTCTGAGAGTTCAAGCACATCATCGGTTTCTATAAATATGAAGAGGTGTTTTCTTTGGAAAT